ATTTTTAATGCCTATGACTAATATAAAATTTTTTAACGTATCGACTAGTACCCCTTTCAAGAACCTTATGTCTTTAGTAGTAGAATATGCTCATTTTTTAAAGCCTCATCTAGCTTCACATATATTTGTTTAGTAAAAATAAATCTAAAACTTATACAGAAAGCTTTCATGATAGCTACCCAGTATGAAATGATCTTATTTACAATTTGTATAGTGGATAGACCCCTTAATTGTGAGTTGATTAATGATATAAATTGTTTTTATAGTGAAGTAAGCTCACTATTTTTAATATGTAATGTTTTTAAAATTTTTTATAATAAAAATAGTATTATCATAGATAACTACAAATAGTCAGAAAACATAAAACTGTTAAAGTGCATAAATAAACTAGGAAGATGAAACCAGCCAGTGGGTATCTCGAAATTTTTTCAATAATTTAAAATATATATTTTTATCTTGGGTTTAATATTGAGAAAATACAAGATATTACTCTTTGTGCTTTTGATAAAAAAATAAAATAAATATTAATAGATATTCAAAGTGTAAATAGTTATTAAATATAATAAATAAATGGAATACTCTATGCGTTTCTATGATATATTATAAAAAAAATAAAAAAAATAAAAAAAAATAAAAAAAATTCTTTAACCTTCCCAGCTATAGCAGAGTATCCATCCTGGAGTATTTGTAAATATCAGTTTTATATTAGATGATTTAAAATACTAGATTATTCACTTAAACCATACTTTGTACAATAATTATTGATAATTTCTTGTAATGCCTTCCCTTTTATGAATTTTTCTAATTTATTTATTTTTTTTGTTTGTAATATGATAATATCTTGCATTTAACTTAATATCAAGACTAAGATTACTTAATTGTTCCTTAGGTACCAGACAACTCCTATATTCTAGAATACCACTATGCTGCTTCATATCTGCAAGATTATTATCCTGTGGAAGGTCAGCAGTTATTACACCTAAACTGGCAACTATCTACATGTCCAGACCTCCAATATTTATTAAGATACCTTGTTCTAAAATATTAATTTCATCTACAATTGATTTTATGATATCATCAAATTTATCTCCAAATAGGACAAAATCCAAAACAAAGTGATTTTTTAATTGTTTTCTTAGATATAAAGGCATGTTACAAAATTAGAAATAAATTGTATCTAATGAATGATATACATTACGAAATGTGCTGAAGTCATCATAGTAAATATCTAGCATAATTTTTAATATAGGTACATTATTAGATGCTTATATTAGAAGTTGAGTGTATTCAATTGGGTAATGATACCACAGTTTGCAGTTCTTTATTTTTTACTGATCTTCATGATTATACAAAATTTCTCTTACATAAAATTGATAATCAGGTGGCTCTGATGTATCATGGAGCCAAACCGTAACTAGCTTAATAATGGTAAATAGATCAATCAAGTAGATCATTTCACTTAACTATAACTCTCTATCTTGTGATCCTTCTGTTCTTATTGAACTTAAAAAATTCTTGGCAGTTCAGAACCAAAATAAAAGTATTGAACTTTCAATTTGCTACTATTGGAAGTTAAGACAATTGCTATACTTCTTTCTATTTTTATTTTATTGTTTCTGTACTTGATAAACAATTCTGATTGGTATAATTCTAAATATTATTTATTAGTTATTATCATGAAATATTATTTAAATTATGCTTGCTGGCAAAATAAATAAATAAATATGATCTGCTTAATAAAAGTAATAAAATATTTGAATATAAAGCCGCTTGAGGTTATAAATTTGTTTAACGTTTCTCTCGAAGCTTAAGCATAGTAGGGGAGAGGTCAAATTAAACAAATATTATATGCACCTCAAAAAATTTCTATTATTATTGGTTAGGTTACAGTCACTTGACTTATTGAAATCTCAAAGACATAATAGATGTTTTAGTTAGATTGTTTAGTTTCAGAAAAGTTCTTGGAGGTGGTGAGGAAGTATGTTAAATAAAATTGTAATTTCAAATAGCTTAATAATAAATTAAATATTGGATTTGAGCACGAACAAAGTAATTATATAATGGTTTAGAATTTTGCCAGTAAGTATATCATATGTATTTTTTCATAATACTATTGTTTATTGATATGGAGAATAGGCTAAAGAGAAGAGATTCTTGCCAAATACTGCTATGCAGAACTCGGATTTTGTATCTACCTCAACACCAAGTCCAAAATACATTTGTAATCTTAAATCTTTATTGCTTAGAACTCTTTTGATATGTTTATTTACAGATATTGTGTAAACATTTTTGATAGGTGTTGATGTTGATGGTGTCTTTAGATTTTGAATTTGATAGCACTTTATTTCTTGTAAAGGGAGTTTGTGACGCAATGATTTTAACTGTCTAATATTTCTAATTATATATTTAGGTTAAAATTTTGGATGTTGGATAATATTCGCCAGATCTTCATACAGTTTTGTTGCTAGTAATTAGAGGTCCGAACTAGGTTATACAAATCTAGATAACCTGGATCAAAACAAGTGAACTGGGTTTCTAATTTATAACCTGAGTCAAATCGGTTAAAACTTGAACTGGGAGTTTATTGGCTAGTAAGTATTAAAATTTTATACTTATTAACCAATAAATTCTCAGAATATGTTATTTTACGAATTATCTTTGTACTACTATATAAGTGCACATGTACTCTCACTCTGGTTCTCTTAAAAAGTTATAATTTATACTATTTGATCCTATGCCTTGGTATTAAAATCCAAAATTGACATTATCTGATCCTATGCTTGATGTTAAAATCTATAATTGATACTATCTAATCTTATATCCTGGTATTAGTTTAAATAGTTCAAATTTACTCGTTAATGCATACAAGCATATATATAATAAAAAACTATACAGAAATAAGAATAATAAATATGATAACCATCTCTTAGATTAAACATAAGATCATGATAATTATATATAAAGCAAATAAGTACATAATATATTAAATAGAAAAGTACATAGCACAAGACATTGTATGTAATGAAAAATAAAAGTCGCAATTTGTTCTTAATTTTTAATGTAATTATTTTTTAGCATTGAGTTTATTAAAATAAATATATTCAAATCAATCAAATAGTAAATATTTGTTGAGCCTGATATTATTAAATAAGAATTAATACTATATATATTTAAACAAGTTACTTCTAAATACGCAATAATTCAAAGTCTTGTTTTTGAGCAAAAGCTCATCAATTTTTATGGGCTATTGTATTGGTAGGATATCAACTTGCATAGTTTTATACATTCAATTTATCTATCTCCTAAGTATGTTAACTAAATATCATATATAATTGAAAATAAAAAAAGTCATACATAATTTGTTTGACATTGTATTCAATTACTGGTATATACCAAATGCACAAAATGTTCAGGTTAACATCTTTTTGCCTTTCTATTAGTAACCTTCTAATACACTAGCCCTATAAATAAGACAAGAATATGTGATAGAAAATAAATAGGATTCTCTTTATAGTTTTGTGTAAAACAGAACAATCTTTGTGAAATTAATGCAAAAATTGTATCATTTTTCTAATCATGTAAGCTATGTGTATTATACTGGTCGAAAAGATAAAATTCGACCCTAAATCAGCCAGAAATTGGCCAAAACTCGTACACAAAACAGTAGTCGATTGGCAAATTTTGGTCAAACTCAGGTTGAATTGGCCAAAATGATTAATCTAGATTCAACTCAAAAAACACCAGGTAAAAAAAAAAGGTAGCCAATTGTTTAAATCAGCTACCGATTGTTTATACAGATAGCTAATTATAGGTTGAATGCTAAATTTTAACATTTAACCTAAAATCAGCTACCAAATTTTGGCTGATTGTTATAAACATTCAGCCAAAATTCGGTAGCCGATTTTAGATCAAATGTTAAAATTTAGCATTCGATCTATAATTGGCTACCTGTATAAACAATTGGTAGGCTGATTTAAACAATCGGCTACCTTTTTTTTTTATCTGGTGTTTTTTGGGTTGAATCTAGATCGATCATTTTGGCCAATTTGACCTGAGTTTGACCAAAATTTGCTAATCGACTACCAATTTGTAGGCGAATTTTGGTGAATTTCTGGCCAATTTGGGGTTGAATTTTACCTTTTCGACCAGTGTTAGTATTAAATTAATAATAATATATATTTCGCAAAGAAATATAAAGAGCCTTATAATTAGCAAATTTATAAATAAACAAAAAAAACAAATAAATAAAAATACAGACAAAAAATTGTTCACAAACTTGTAAAGTGAGTCATTCTTAAAAAGGTTTTTTTAACATCCATTCCATATAGATTGGTGAATTGATATAATTTTATTAAAAAATTCTTCACATTCTTTTTTTCAACATAATTGTTATATTCTTACCTTAAGTAACTCAAAATTGATCTTTATTTTACAATGAGTGACAATGAAAGTGATCTTTATGAAGATTCAGTTTTTGATTCAAATTGTGAAACTAGTGATAATATATCAATTGGTTCTAGTAGTGGGGCTGTTTTAGTAGTTAGTTAAGAAAATCAATCTCATGCAACAAAAAAGAGTAAATTGATACATCTGAAGCGCAGACAGAAATATGTAAAAATCAGTTGGGTATGGAAATACTTTGAAGTAAGCAAGGATGGAATGTACAATATTTGTAAAGTTGAGACTCTGAATTTAAGTAATGAAAAGGTTAAGTGAAGTCATAAATTTCTACATGATGGTAGTACTGAAAAT